TTCATGGTAGGGATATACTACATTTTGTTTATTCATCTGTTGATGGACATTTGGATTGCTTGTACCTTTAACTAGGATGAATAATGTTGTTACACACCTCTAGGTACAGATGTTAGTGTGTTTTCATTTCTCTTGGGTATACACCTAGGAGTGTAATTGCTGGGAAGTGTTTTAACTCTACTTTTAATTATTTGAGGAATTGCCAGACTGTTAGCCAAAGTGGCTTTACCAGTTCATATTCCCATCAGCATTTTATGGGGGTTCTAATTTCTCCACAACCTCATCAACACTTATTATTATTTTCTGATTTTTTGATTCTAGCCACATTAGTAAGTGTGAAGTGGGATATCATTGTTTTTATTTGCATTTCTCTGATAACTAGTGATGAGCATTGGCCATTTGTGTATGATTTTCTTTTTTTTTCTTTTCTGTTTTGAGATGGTCGTCTCACTCTGTCACACGTAGCTGGAGTGCAGTGGGGTGACCTCACTCACGGTAGCCTCTGCTTCCTAAGTTCAAGCGATTCTTGTGCCTCGCCTCCTGAGTAGCTAGGACTACAGGCACGTATCACCATGCGCAGCTAATTTTTCTATTTTTAGTAGACAAGGAGTTTCACCATGTTGGTCAGGCTGGTCTCAAACTCCTGACCTCAAGTGATCCGCCTGCCTCAGCCTCCTGAAGTTCTAGGATTAGAGGTGTGAGCCACTGTGCCCAGCCTGTGTATAATTTTTTTTTGAAGAAATATCTATATAGATCTGTTACCCATTTTTAATCCAGTTATTTATCTTGAAGTTATATCAGTTCTTTATATATTCTGGATGCCAGTCCCTGACCAGAATTTGCAAGTATTTTCTCCTATTCCATGAGTTATAATTTTGTTTTCTTGATAGTGACCTTTGACATTCAAAAGTTTTTAATTTTTATGAACTCCAATTTGTCACTTTTTCCTTTTGTTGCTTATGCTGTTAATGTCAATTGAATAATCATTTAAATGAGAAAATAATACATGTAAACATTTTAGCACAAGGACTAGCTCATAGTAAATGCCTGATCAATATTGAGTTGCCATTATTTTTATTATTTTGAGACAGGGTCTCACTCTGTTGCCCAGGTTGGAGTGCAGTGGCACAATCATGGCCAACTGTAGCCTCAGCCTCCTGGGTTCAGGTGATCCTCCCACCTCAGTCTCCTGAGTACCTGGGACTACAGGTGTTCTGCTGTTATTAATAATATAAAAAAGTGCTAAGCCAGTTTCTGCCGTAAGTACTTACATGTTCATTCTCCCATTGGTTACTTCTAAATCACCCTTCAAAAGTAGCTACTATTATCTGCCATGTAATGACAAGAAACCTGACAAGAAGACCTGAGAGCTTGAATGATAATCTTTGGTCAAGCTAGGATTCACACCCAGAGCCCTGTCAGCCCCCAAGGCCAGTGATCTTCCTTGTACCCTACAACCTGGCACTTTTCTTCACTCTCTGGCCAACAGAGTACAAAGTCTAGATATCAGCAGCTGATTCAGGAGAGGACCAATACTCAAGAAACAGGGCACACTAATAGTAGGGCTCTATGGTGCACCATGTGCCTATTTGACCTACTTTGCCTCTTTGACCTACACCTATTAGTATGTGTGCCATACTGTGCTACTGTTCATATGCTCTATTAGTATGGTTGGAGAAGGGACAATGACATTCTGGAAATAGGGCATACTCATGGCAGCACAGGATCCTGTGATGAGGTGGCTGGCTTGAGCTGGGGACAAGACCATGAGACCTAGAGAAACCAGGGAAGGCTTCATGGAGATGGCAGCTCTTCAAAGGTGGTAGAATTTGGATGTTTGAAGCAGGAAGGTCCCGAATAAGTAAAGATGGGTAGGTAGAAATGACAAAGAGATAGTACTGACTCAACAAAAAGGTTTGTGTTGGACAAAAGGAAAAACAGCTTCTAAGAGAAAGTAATGATAATAAGAGCAGAAGCTACAATAACAATAACTGTTCACATGCCACATGTAATTGTAAAGCTTACATGAGCTTGTTTAGCCATCATGGTCCTTCGAAGCAGGTAACGTGATCTTCTCCTTTTACTGATGAGAAAACTGAGGCACAGACAGATAAAACAGTGTGTCCCAGATTACAGATTAGAACTGGGAGAAAACTAAAATCAGCCAGCAAGGTTATTATGACTGGCAACAGAACACCAGAATTGCTGGAGTCTGTAAGAGCAAGGACTACAATAAAGACATTCACGAATCAACTCATGAAGGAACACAGACACGAAGGAACACAGACACGAAGGAACACAGACACGAAGGAATACAGACACGAAGGGACACAGACACGAAGGGACACAGACACGAAGGAACACAGACACGAAGGAACACAGACACGAAGGGACACAGACACGAAGGAACACAGACACGAAGGAACACAGACACGAAGGGACACAGACACGAAGGGACACAGACACGAATCAATACAGACATGAAGGAACACAGACGTGAAGGAACACAGACGTGAAGAAACACAGACATGAATGGACACAGACATGAAGGGACACAGACACGAAGGTACACAGACACGAAGAAACACAGACACGAAGGAACACAGACACGAAGGAACACAGACACGAAGGAACACAGACATGAATCAATACAGACATGAAGGAACACAGACACGAAGGAACACAGACACGAAGGAACACAGACATGAAGGAACACAGACATGAAGGAACACAGACATGAATGAACACAGACATGAATGAACACAGACATGAATCAATACAGACATGAATCAATACAGACATGAAGGGACACAGACATGAATGAACACAGACATGAATGAACACGGACATGAAGAAACACAGACATGAAGAAACACGGACATGAATGAACACATACATGAAGGAACACAGACATAAATGAACACAGACATGAAGGAACACAGACACGAAGGGACACAGACACGAAGGGACACAGACACGAAGGGACACAGACACGAAGGAACACAGACACGAAGGAACACAGACACGAAGGGACACAGACATGAAGGGACACAGACACGAAGGAACACAGACACGAAGGAACACAGACACAAAGGGACACAGACACGAATCAATACAGACATGAAGGAACACAGACGTGAAGGAACACAGACGTGAAGAAACACAGACATGAATGGACACAGACATGAAGGGACACAGACACGAAGGTACACAGACACGAAGAAACACAGACACGAAGGAACACAGACACGAAGGAACACAGACACGAAGGAACACAGACATGAATCAATACAGACATGAAGGAACACAGACACGAAGGAACACAGACACGAAGGAACACAGACATGAAGGAACACAGACATGAATGAACACAGACATGAATGAACACAGACATGAATCAATACAGACATGAATCAATACAGACATGAAGGGACACAGACATGAATGAACACAGACATGAATGAACACGGACATGAAGAAACACAGACATGAAGAAACACGGACATGAATGAACACATACATGAAGGAACACAGACATAAATGAACACAGACATGAAGGAACACAGACATGAATGAACACAGACATGAAGGAACACAGACACGAAGGGACACAGACATGAAGGGACACAGACATGAAGGGACACAGACATGAATGAACTCAGACATGAAGGAACACAGACATGAAGGGACACAGACATGAAGGGACACAGACATGAATGAACTCAGACATGAAGGGACACAGACATGAATGGACACAGACATGAAGGGACACAGACATGAAGGGACACAGACATGAAGGAACACAGACATGAAGGGACACAGACATGAAGGGACACAGACATGAATGAACACAGACATGAAGGACCACAGACATGAAGGGACACAGACATGAAGGACCACAGACATGAAGGGACACAGACATGAAGGAACACAGACATGAAGGACCACAGACATGAAGGGACACAGACATGAAGGACCACAGACATGAAGGGACACAGACATGAAGGGACACAGACATGAATGGACACAGACATGAATGGACACAGACATGAAGGGACACAGACATGAAGGAACACAGACATGAATGAATACAGACATTTTTGTACCTAGACAGTTTTAGGTTCAAATCATGACTCTGCCCACTCCCTGGCTATAGAATCATATCCAAGTTCCTTAACTTTCCTGAATTTCTATCCCTAAAAATCAGGGCTGGGAATGGCTAGTTCAATCCACATAGGGCTGATACGAAGATTTCCAGATATCAGAGCTGTCCAAATAGGGAATCCATAGATATTTAAATTAATGGGTGGTGAGGGGTGTTGACATGATTTTCTTTCTGAGAAAGGGCCTCTGAAGCACAAGATAAAAATCAAGTGAGACCCAAGGGTGTGAGCAAGTATATGGTGGAAGTTTCAATGCCATCTTTGGATGCAGCTCTCCTTATGCAAATTCCAGCTACTTACTAGCTCTGTGCCTAGAGATAGGTCACTCTGCCTCTTTGACCTACGCCTTCCCTACATAGAAAGGGGAAGGAAATAGGCCCTGCCTCCAAGTGTCCTGAGGATTGAATGAGTCAATGTGCTGCCCTAACTGTTTGGAGCAGGGCCTGCATGGGAGAAGCCCCCAGGGACAGCCCACTGTCTTCATTGCGGGGTCAGGCCAAGGGCATGCCCCAAGACCTCAGAGCATACAATGTGAGTGTTTTCCAAGGACAGCCAGACCTGCTGCATCAGACAACCAGACAGCCTCAGTGGGAAGGCCAGGTGTGCCAGCTTTTATGCTGCCATCAATAGCAGCAGGTGTCACGGCCTTGGAACCTCTAGCCTCATACATCAGAATCCCACAATTTACTTCCGTGTGCATCAAAAAACAAGGGGGGCGGGCCTCATTCTGCAACTGAAAAGACTCTAGCAACCACCCCTGGCCTTGCCAACATCACACACACACACACACACACACTCCCTCCAGGAACCTGACATTGTGCAATGCAGTCTGAACTTTCTACTGTTCATATCTGAGTCAGCACCAGCAAGTGATTGCTTCCCAAGCCCTATTTATGGCAGTTTTGCTTTGGAGGAGTTAGGGAGGGTGTGGATGGCAGGCGGATATTGTTGTTTTTCAGAAAGTCTATTTAAAAAATAGAATGCCGTGACTGGTGAGCTATGAAACAATGAGGATAAACATATGCTGTTGGTGATGGTTTTCCCTTCATTCATTTGGGCTTCTGTTGAAATGGCAATGGACATTGATATCCTATTGTTGAGATAGGATTGCCCCTCTCTTCATTGGTCAAAAAGATAAAGAGATCTGCAAAGTGATGCTAAATCTTTGAATCAATTCCTCAATGAATTATCCATAAGCTCCTACACTTGTCCGCAGCAGCTGTACTAAAATCACAATTAGTTCATGCAATGCATAATTATGCGTTTAACTCCTGTCTTCCTCCAGCCAGGCAGAGGGTGTCAGTTACCTGGACAGAGCCTGTTAGCTCAGGAGACAGGCAGAAGAAGGATCAAATTTGGATCTGTCTTTTACTTGCCGTGACAAATGATTCAACCCTTCGGAGCCTCAGTTTCTGTAAAACAAAAGCAAAAAATTCCTTTCATTCACTTGTTCATTGGCTTATTAAGATAGTATTTGAGTGCTAATTTTGTCTGAGCAGTGTTTTCGGGACTGGTGATAGGGCAGTGAACAAAGCAAACATGGATTCCACCCGTATGCTTGTGTAGGCTGATAAACCATAAAGAAATAAAATAAATAAGAAAACTACACAGCAAATTAGACAAAGAGAAAATACAGCAGGGGAGAAGGATAGGAAGAGGGACAGGGAGAATGTGTGTATGTGTGTGCGTGTGTGTGTGTGTGTGTGTGTGTGTGTGTGTGTGTGTTGCTGTAGCAGGTTTAGATAAAGGGCCCAGAAAGGACTCACTGAGGAGGGAACATTTCAGACAAGATGTAAATGAGGTGAGAAAGCAAACCATGCAGATACCCAAGGAAGGCAGAGGAAATAGCATGTGCAAAGGCCCTGAGGTAAGAGTTTACCTAGTGTGTTGAAGGAAGGAAGCCAGGAGTGGATGGGAGGCTGGGGAGTAAAAGATGAGGTCAGAGAAATAATTTGGCAGCGTGGTCTGAGGGTTAAATCATTGTAGAAGCCACATACATAATAGGATTGCAATGACCAGGTTTTAGATGGTAACCCTATGAAAGTGAGTGAGTGAGTGAGTAAGTGAGTGAGTGAGTGAGAAGAATGAATAGATAGCTCATTTATCCATCATGACACTAGGACTCAGAGAAGTCCACTGACTTGCCTATGGCCACTAGCTGGCTTGTGAAAAATTTAAGGCTAGACTTCAGGACCGTCTTTTCCAAGGTTTTCCAAGGGCTAATCTTTCTTTCCTACATTATTGACACAGATGAAAATCTTCATCAATGTCCTCCCCCAACCCAACTTCAAATGCCAACAGTTGCCACTGAAATGAAGGGACGCTGCTAAACATCCTACAATGTACCGGGCAGCCCCCACTACAAAGAATTTTCCAACCCTAAATGTAATAGTGCCAAGGGCGAAAAACCTTGGCTGAGGGGAAGAGTCCCAAATCTATTGTTTTTTCTTTCCTCTTCAAACCCCATTGTTTTAAACTCTACGTGGTGATTCTCAAGGGTGTGTAGAGAGCCTATAGTACCAGAATGAATGAAGGGTGGGACCCACAAGCCCCTCCACCCACTGGGAGAGGGGGTGCGGATTCCTGGCTAGGATGAACTCAATTCTATTTCCCCTTCCAGGGATCTTTGTTGAAGGCATTAATATGAACTTGGCGACAAGGGTGGAGCTAGGAGCAAAATTTTCCAAAATAAAGTCACAGATAAGAGATTAAGATCCATAAGACTATTGCTCTGCTATTCAGAGCACAAAGCCTTTCTGCATCCAGGGCTTCCCTTAGGGACAGAGGGCTAACAGATATTATCAAAGTAACACATGAAAATAATACTGTCTTAGTACAAAAGGGTACGTCTTCTCTCCTACATAGAGCTCAGTACACTTCCATCCAAGCTAGCTCATGCTATTTCACAAGGATCAGGCTATACCGGATAATTTATTAAGCCAATTTGGAAGGACGGATTGCAACTGAGAGCAAGGTTAATGACACACCCAGTGGGTACAAGGAAGAAGATATGTTTTCTTGAGTCTCAAGCTGTTGCTTCATTCATGCATTCATTCATTCATTCAACAAGCATCTCCTGGGTGTCCACAATGTGTCAGGTTCTATGCTATACATTGGAGACCCAACTGGGGTTAAGATGTGCTCCCCATCCTGAAGGAGAGGGAAACTCACAAGCTAGAGGGGAAGGAAGACAAAGATATAGGTGCCATGACATACAGGCTCTTCTGGAATCTAAGGAATATGCAGAGTGATACAAGCTGCAATGGGAGTGATTAGGAATGGTGGGAACTGAAGAATGTATCTACTCAATTCAGAGAGTTCAGGGAGGGCTTCCTGGAGGAGGTGAAGTTTATTTTAGTTTCTCAACCTTGACACTACTGACATTTAGGGCTGGATAATTCTTTGTGGTTGGGGGCTGCCCCATGCATTGTAGGATGTTTAGCAGTACCCATGGCCCCTATTTATTAGATGTCAACAGCGCCACACTCCCTCAAGTTGTGACAACCAGACATTGCCCCCAGGAACAAAATCACAATCCCCTCACTGAGAACCAGTGGTCTAGGCAGAGGTGCATGACAGATACCCTGGAAGGCCTGGACCACTAAACTATGTGACCTTGTCCTGCATGAGCCTTGATGAGAGTTTGAATTTTACTCCAGGATAGGTGGAAGCCACCAGAAGACTGAAACTGGGTGAGTGGCATGATCTGGTCTTTTCAAAAGCTTCTCACTGAATGGATAGGAGGGGCAAGGGTGGCTCAAGGAGATTAGAAGGAAAGTCTTCCATAATGAACCATTCTAGGGCCTGCAAGTGACTGCAGTGAACCTTGCTTGGCACTAGGACTGCAGAGAGGAGCCTCTCCCCCATCAAAGCTGGGCCCCCAAGCTGACACATCCTCCTGGGCAGTGGTCCAGGCCCTGAGCCAGGGAGGAGTTCTTCTTCCAGGTCGTCCAGCTCATGCCCACCTTACCATGACTCAGAGCAAAGGGCCTTTTGCTTTCTGGAAAGGTCAACCATGGCCCCGTTTTCAAGGAAGATTAGGTGTCAAAGAGAGAACACTGAGCCTTCACTTCAGAACCCAGGCACTGAGTTCACATCAGCCAAAGAAAAGGAACTCAAACCAGAAGCCTACAATACACCAGGCAAGGGCCACACCCGACACTCAGCATACTGAACCCTAATATTTAAGCATACAGCATGCTGTCCTGTTGCATTATCTGCTGTGGAAATGACCGTCTTTCAGGGAACTAGAATAACATGCACTGAAACTAAACTCTTAAATGTAATTTCCATTACATTACTTATAAATATCAGTTATTACTGTTCCGAAGGAGGTATTGCCATCTCAAAGATGAAGAAAGAGGCTTAGAGGAGCAACATGAATTGCCCAAATTCACAACAGCTAGGAAGCTGTCCATCCACGAATAAACTCTGAGCTTCTTCCTCGTCACTACCCAGCCTTCAAAGCCCATGAGACTTCACAAACCAACAGGTCAAACTATAGGTATTAACACTTCTTACAATTCTGGATGTTGAAATTATTGGAAACTGTGATGGTTAATACTATCAACTTGATTACACTGAAGGATTCAAAGTACTGATCCTAGGTGTGGTCTGTGAGGATGTTGCCAAAGGCGATTTACATTTGAGTCAGTGGGCAGGGAAGTCAGACCCACCCTTAATCTGGGGGGGGGCACCATCTAATCAGCTGCCAGCACGGCTAGAATATAAAGCAGGCAGAAAAACATGGAAGGGCCAGACTAGCCTAACCTCCCAGTCTACATCTTTCTCCAGTGCTGGATGCTTCCTGCTTCCTGCCCTCAAACATTAGACTCCAAGTTCTTCAGTTTGGGGACTCAGATTGGCTCTCTTTGCTCCTCAGATTGCAGACAACCTATTGTGGAACCTTATGATCATGTGAGTTAATAAATTCATATATATCTATATCTATATATATCCTGTTAGTCCTGTCCCTCTAGAGAACTGACTAGAGTCAGTTTCTATTAGTTCTGTCCCTCTAGAGTTCCTAATACAGGAACTATCATTATATTTGCCCTTTATTTTCCAAATTTTTCAAAAGGGAAAAAAGAATTGGGGCAGTAGACTTGCAGCTAATAAAAGCAACAGCATTGCATACCCTGTGTTGAATGACTATGACTGTGTTACATGCAATACTTCTCTCAATGTTCCGACCCATGCTATAAAGTCAGGGCTACTATCATTCATATTTTACAAATTAAAAAATCAAGACGCAGAAAGACCTGGCACAAGAAAGTGGCAGGGCCACAATTTAACGTGAGATCTATGTGACTCGAAAGTCCTTCGAAAACACAGCATGGTTTTTAGTGACTGTCCAACTGTGTGCTTCTATATCCTTGGGCTGAAGCCATGGAGACAACTGCAGCCAGCAGGAAGAACACGGGCAAGACACTACCACCTGTGCCCAATGCCTTTCTTTCCTGCAGAAGAGCAGAGCTTTTATGCAGCACCAGGCTCTCAACTTGGCCTTGGAAAGAGAACAGGCTTTTCCCCAACCCTTTCAAATCTGCAATGCTTCTGCAACCTCAGGCACGGAGGAAGGTCACTGGGACAAAGCCATCCACCAAGCTTCTACAGAAAGGATGTGCCAGGATTCACTCTGCAGCAGACAGCGATCATCTTCAACTGTTGCCGAGCAAATCGCTCGCCTGTTTAAAGCTTCTGCTTTTTGTTTTCCATCAGATCCAAACTCTTTATGCAGCCCCTGCTGACTTGCCCAACCCAAAATTCCTACTTCTCTCTCCCTAACTGATCATACCAGCCTTCCAGGTACGCCCAAATACCCCACATTCTCCATGGGCCTTTGTGCTGACTGTTCACTCTGTCTGAAACTCTGTTTTCCCCATGCTCCGCTGGCTCATTTCCTTCTTAGGTCTGATCAGGCCAATGGAAGGGAACCACATAAGGTTTCAGAACAGAAGAGAGAACAGGGGAAAAGACTCACTTTTACTGAGTACCTATGATAGAGCTGGCAACATGTGGCATTTAATTCTATCCTCGCAATCATCCTTTCAGATTGTTTTACAGACAAGAAAACTGCAGTCTAAAGAGGCTTTGTCCTTGCCCAGGGCCAGACAATTTCCAAGGGCGGAGGTGAGATTTTAAACCTCTGCCCATGGACTGCCCAGATCCTTTTACCTTTCCATGCCCTTGGTCAGGGCCCTTTGAGTCATGAGCTTGGGAAACTGATGAAGACTCAGCTCTGGGGCAATTCAATTGTCCCCTTGGAAGCTGGCAGCCTTCACAAAGCGTCACTAACCTCCCAGGAGGCAGAACACACCAAGGGTTTGAACTTCTCGTGTGGCTAGCCAATTTGCTGGAGAATAAAAGAGCAAAAGCACCCAGGAGCATAAAACCAACCAGTAAATCTAGG